ATTTTTTATGGACTATAGCCCATGAGTTATTTAACTTAGTAAATAACAAATAACAACTCCATAATATAAATCAAAGTTTAATGAAATTTTGGAATGACTTACAAATAGTACAAAATGTTCTAGATGATGCTAATTTCATGATTATCACTATCAAATAATATAAAAAAGTACTAATAATGCGAATTCTTTCATAGATTAAGTGTTATTACTATATAAGTATAGTGTAGTCCATACTATTTGTGGGATGGATTTCTTCATGCACTTGTCAGTACAAATATAGGATATAATATGCTGATATTCTATCATGTCATAGATTTCGTATAAAATAAAATGATTGAATTGTATATGACAAAGAAATGTTTAATTTTCATTCACTGTATATTAGTACTGACAATAGAGCATTCTTACAAGTAAAATATAGTGATTTTAGTATAGTTTGCATTTTCTTTTAAAGGTTTTGCCAGTTAATTTGTCATTATATACAATTGAAGGGATCATGTTTTAAAAAATTTCCTGTAAAATGTCAAATTTATAAAAAATGTGAAAGAATGTAATGGCAAATGCTAGTGGGTAAGATATATACATATGCATCTAGAGAATCTACTGGGAATATAGCACTTAATTTAAGAACATCTAACAAAAATTGCACACAGGGTAAAGAGRATAAAAATACATCGCAAAATGTCCAATTACCACTGATTTTTTGACTTGCTTCATCTTGTTTCATTTCAAAGGTTACGTGTTAATACTTTAAATTTTCATGCAATGCATTACAAAACTTTTGATACATTTTTACATATATAATTGTGATATATATTTACATAGATATCATACAGCGGGGACATTAATAAGGGGAGATTGTTTCATGCCAAGAAGAGAATGAGAGTTAGATTCATAAAACTTAAACAGATCCTCTAAGCTTTGATTTCCATCAACAACAACCACAGGGGCTGGCAAATAAAACTTAGTTTTTCGTAGAAGCCAGTCTTCATATCTTTCATGTAAGCTRTTAAGAAGATCCTAAAACAATATAATCAACAAATATATCAGACCTTCTGTTGATACTGTAATGACCAGTTACATATATTTCACAATAAACAAGGACTACCTACCATAGAGACTGTAGTTTCTTCTGAACGGTTCCTTTTTTGAATTCTCTTCATACATTCATCTGGAGTTGTTCTTAGATAGACTATACCAAGAAAAMACACTATAGTTTAGAAATCTAATTGTACAGACTGGGAGAGAAAGATTGAATAAACAATCATTTGCTGATTTAGAAGGCTTTTTGTATTAATATTTTCAGCAAAGCATGTCACCTGGAAAGTACACCATGTCAAGTCGCCCAAGTTTCATAATAAAAATGGAACATTTTTAAATATTTCTCTAAAAATAACAGTATGTACAGCTGTACGTGTTTTTGACTACATTGTTTCACTTACTGATAAGATCAAGTTGTGGCTTCTGGTGAATAGTTAGGAATTCAAACCATTCTTGAAAAACACTATATTCTACTTTGGTCAACAAGCCACTAAATAAAAAGATTTCAGTAAGATTCATTTCTATGGAGAATAATATACCATACGCATTATTATACTCACCCTTGATATAGGTTCTCAATAAAACAAAAATATGCACTATATGCACTTCTCTCAAGAAGACAGACAGGAGAGTTCTACAAAATCAAAGAGTATGAATAACTTATTGGCAACARAACAGAATGAATTGTATCATAAATGTAACTAAATAGGCAAAATATAACAAAGTGAAGTGAAATGATGATTGAATTGTTAAAAAGATGAAATGGATGGTTGAATGAATCGATTAACAACTTGAATGAATTCATACTTACAGTTTTTTGATTATGAAGCTGCATCATTGTCAAGAGGACATATGATTCAAACATAAAGCTCCATCTACTTGGGTCTTTATACATTAAATCCTAAAGAAACAAAAAATATTTGAAATAACAGCATTATATTCCATAAAAGATAGAAACCTAACATGGACAAGAGTTGAAACATCAGTAAGTTGTCTATCTTATTTCTCATTTAGCTATAATTGTTACTCTTCTAAAAATATAACATTTTATCAGGACTRTTCTTTACCAATATATTATCTCCATGAACATTTTGCCATTTTTTTACTGGTTCCTCAAGCACCTACAAGAAAAGAGCTTAATAAAATAACACTATTTATTTTTTTTCGGTCCGGTATCCTAGTCAGATTTTTCACGATCTGCCCAGTCCGATGGCATCCTGCTGCTAGGCTGCGAGCAAAGTTGCATAAAATACAAATAAAAAATAAAAATGTTATTTACTGGCTATACGTCGGTCCATATAGGAAAACACTGCCCTCAGTCTTTTATGAACGGACCTCGCTGCGCTTATTCCATACTGTCAAGACCTTGGTCAGTGTTTTCCTATACGGACCTCCCAGCCGGTAAATAACATTGTACATAAAAAAATAACTTGAATTCACACATAAAATATTATAAAGTAAACAGAAAAAAATAAGAAGTTACCTCAACAAGAGGATTTTTCCTGAAATACTTTAGTAAKGTAGTTTTCCCACTTCCTATRTTACCTTCTACRGCCACCTAGAAATACAGAAAACATMATTCATTCACTTCAAAACAAAAGAGAACATGTGTTTCTCAAAACTCACAGTTATTTTTCTGCCAGACCGACTGCCATTAGTATGCCCATTAGATGAAGAATGTTGAGAACCAAGCATTGTGAAACAAAAACCTAAAAGAAAGAAAATATGAACATTGCAAATAAAGTTTATTCGTTAAAACTCACTCATTGGACAACAAGCCTAAAGAATTTCTCGTGAATTCAAAAAATCATAAACTCAGATCTTCAACGTGGTCAAAAACAAGAGTCTATGAGTTTTTAAAATATATAAACCTAAAACAAGACATAAAAAACATAAAAACGAGATAAAGTAMATACAAAATGTAAAAATAAATCAAAGAAAACCCAAAACGAAGTTTTCTTCCTAWCAAAGATGGCGCCTCATGAACGCTTGAGCGAAAAACCATCGCAAAAACATTACATGGAGGACAGAAGAAAACGCTGAATGAACGTAAAAGAGCAATACAACTGATGTACAGCTAGCTACAAACCATTTTTACAGCAATGTGTCATGCTTTCCTTGGTGATTTCAGCGAAAACTAGCGAGCGACTGTAAACTTTTTGAAAAGCGCGCCTAAATTCAACCAAACAGAGGTCCGGAGTTGTGACTAGTCTAGTCTTGCCCAGTGATGGCATATTCAAAATAAAAGCGCATTCTGGCTAAAAATAACTGAATACGAAGTGTAAACACTATGCATTGCATACCTTTATAGTCTCTTGAAGAAAGTTTATGAAGAAGAAGAGTTTGAAGCGGGAAAATCGTTCGAAACGATAAACTGATTTGCATTTGAAGACCCCGGGTAGCAGTGAGCATGCAGTACATTTCAGCGGTGATATTAACTTCCGGTAGTAGGACAGGAAGTAAAATTTCAATTCATAAATGGTCGCTTTTTCTGCAAAAGCCTTCAACATTTTTCATCTCCTTCCACCAAGCGCTGTCCTTCTTCTCTTGACTCGCGACCTTGATGAGATTTGTCCTAAAAACTTGAAAAAAAAATGTCTTTCAATAAGTTTTCCAGAGAAATGCAGAATTACAATTAAGAAATTATCCCTTAATTTACTAAATATTTGTTAGAGGAATTCTATGGATTCTAAAAAAATAGCTGAATAACGTATGCGAAAACATTAGATGAAGTAAAWTTTGGAGAAAAAGACTCAGATAATGCAGAAAATCGCCTGGACATCGACAGAGCACGTCTTCAAGGTTAGGGCATCACCATATTTCAGATTTTTCAAATAAAACGTGTTTATAGATAAAGTTTTGATTTTCATTTACCTTTTTTTACGCATTTAAATCCATGTTTAACAGAAAGTTTTGAACAAGTTGTCGTTCACTACCAGCGCGCTGTATTTATGCCCTACATCCCATGATCCATTTCGGGCTAGTTTCGTGATCCAAAATGGCGGACGCATCGTCATCATSCAACAAAAAGCTTCTTCATGAATATATTGCTGATTACTTTTATTCAGCCTATTTAGCCTTGAGAAGAAATGCATTTACTAAAMCAGAATATAAAGCAGCAATCTACTGGCTCATCGTCGTTGTGGGATCCTTTATTCAACAATTTTTCCCRTTGCCAAAGTCGTACCTCTCCTACCGCAAAAACGTGTTCAATATTTATTTTGTGAAAATTGGTTGGGGATGGACATGGTCACTGCTTAGCCTTTTGTCAGTTATGTGTACGTTAATCATAACTTCAGGCAACGTTGTAAAAATGATGCGTCATTATGGTCGGCTGTTGGTGGCAACAATGGCTTGGTTTTGTTGGGTCAGATTGTTTGAATATATTGAACACCTTACGGGTACATGTAGCGGAGAACCCTTACATAATTCCAAACTAGTATGTCACAGGAATGGGTTCTTTTGGCAAGGATTTGATATATCAGGACATGCGTTTCTCCTCATACATTGTTCTCTGACAATAAGTGAAGAGATCCAGGTTGTAAAATACTTAGAAAATAAAATTAAAGAAAGCTACAGCCAAAGTCCATCTGGTTTTAAGGCACAGTACTGGTATAAACTACTCTGGCCCTTTATTCATGTAACTTTCCTTTGCACAGCCCTATTGGTTATCCTTTGGGAGTTCATGCTGGTCGTAACTTCTCTATATTTCCATACAGTCCAACAGAAATTRCTAGGTGCCATCTTTGCCATTGTAAGTTGGTGGGGTACRTACAAGTAYTGGTATCAGCAAGATGAAGGGCTKTTTTTACAAAATCTAAAACAATGATATTTATACCCTTATAATCTTTAGGAATAATCTTCATACTGTATTTTAGACTGGCTTTTGAAAGGAAAGGCAGAATGAATTTTAAAACAAATTGTAATAACATYTATTTTTCTTTGTACATCAAAAATGTGATATTACAGTAATCAATACTATTGTATGAAAGTTCATAATGGTTCATTCATATGAGGAAATAAATAAAACATTTTAAAACATTTTGGTATCCCTGTGTAGATTTKTGACTTTGAAAGACTAGGCACTAGTGTGATAAAAGTCGGAGCATGCAAAGTCGGTTCATATTTATAAATACTTGCTATTGTTACAGTACAAGAGAATCAATTTGATCATAAGGTAAGTTGTCCCCTACAGAAGTATTAAGGAACCGAAGTTTTAGCTTTGG